TTTATATATTTTATAAATAGAAGCCCAGAGAGGTTAAGCAACCTGCCCAAAGTCACATAGTAAGTGGTGGATCTGAGGTTCCAGCACAGATCTTGAGACAGGAAAGCTATGAGTTGTGGACATGCAGGAACTATTAAGCAATGTCTCAAGGAGGTAGTTAGTCTAGGGCTTGGCTGTACCTTTTCACTAGAAGAGGACTGTTCATGCCTGTTAGGCCAAATTCATTTCTTTTGATTAAAGGCAAAATGAATAATCCATTGTACTTTTGGGCAGCCTCTAGAGTGATCTCAACCTCACCGCAAATGGCTAATCCTCTAGATTTTACTCTCCCAGGCACAGAAAGTTCTGGACAGAGACCTTTTCCTTTCTCATGGTAGCTGGCCCATAGGCCCTGAGGATTTTAATTCCTCTCCAAAAAATTCAACTGCCTGACTCTCTCGTACAAGGAATTCTTTGGATAATGAGATGGCTGTGATAGTACACTTCTACTCCTTATGTCCAAAAAAACAAGCAGATTTTCTCCACTCTCTTCATTCATATCGTGAAGTCTCTATTTTGTTTGAAAGGTGACCTAGGAATCCCTGTCCAGTGGCTCACAACATAGGACACTCACACCTCAGAGAAGAATCCCTTCAACAGATAGAAATACGAACCCCCTTCTTACACTGTGGAGCTTGTGAGCCAGAATCAACTGAAATCCAGGGCCCTGTGACAGAAGCTGTGCAATAGCAACGGAAGGAAGACTTTTAAAACCTGAGGGCAATTTGGAACTAGAAATGTGAGGTATCTAAACATGCTGCATCAAGTCAGCAGACACCTCAGCTTACAGCAGGAGGTGCAACAGCACTAAAGGTAGCACCAGCTTTTCCTACCAGTCAGATTTTGGCCTTGTACCATGAAGGCAGGACTGTGCCTGCTTTGTCTCCAAGAACCTAGCACATAGTAGGCATACAGCATATCACTGCTGAATGAGGGTTGGCCCGTGGTGGAGGGCCAGGTGCAGTGTTTACTGTGTTAGTTGTGCCAGAGTCCCATGATTTCTATCATCCTTGATAGGTGTCTTGGGACCTTTAGACTCACTCAGAATAGAGGATGCAAATTGCTACTTGGCTATATGACCTGTAATTAATCTTATCTCAGTGGTAAACCCATAATTCATGCTGGGTTTTCTTTTGTTTGGTTTTTGAAATGGAAATCGAGTGTCCTGAGAAATGAATTCACTTTGATTTCTACACGTGAAGTCAAAGTACAACATTTCTATAGTGTTTCTGCTTAGAATGTGCTGATGAGTGACAAACAGACACATAGGAACACCGGTATTTCCAAAGGGCTGGGTGGTTTCATGACTAATCACTCTAACTGTAATTACATGCTTGTTCAGATACTGGTTTCCCTGGCTACAGAGACAGGGTTCATGGTAAGAATGGAGATGTGATCAGGAGAAGTTTAAATAGAAACAATTCTTTTTACTAGGGGGGAGATGAGGTGAATTAGCCCACCAGCCTGGCTGAGAGGAAGCAGAAGTGTGCACAGGAAGCCGACTGTCAGCCCATCATCTTCACCACTGTGCTGCCTCTTGTGCGTGGTGATGTGGGAGATGAAGCTCCTGTGTGTCAAGCTGTGGTCCCACTGAGGAGCTGGGTTTTATGTGGCACCACCCATGGCCTGTCACCCATGGTCAGCCTGGGACAACGACACACATTCAAGATGCTACAGAAGGCTTCCAGGGCTTTCTCTGGCCATGGAGAAACTCAAAGCCTGCCTGGAAGAGGTCATAGCTATAATATTGATCTCTTTTGCAATAACTCTATCCAGCAGGGTAAAAATATCTTTTAAAAAAGAAAGCTTCCGAGAGAGCATTCTTGGAAGCCAACCTTCTTAACAACTCTTACCTCCTGTATACCTCTGTATACTTGGGTCAGCTTGCTCTCAATCATTGTCCTCTGGTCTCAGGAGAAAAAGCTGGTCAGTGCTGTGTAGGATCAGAAAAGTGGGAAAGGAATCTGGGCCACAGGCAGCATCCCGCAGACAGAAAGGGGCCTGGGCCGGGCCATCTGCTCTTGGCCAACCCAATTAGTACCTGGGAGGGGTTTTTTTCTCAGAAGGAGAGGCCAACGAGTGAGTTGAAAAGGAGATATGCTTCTCTACCAGTTTGGTGGCTTCAAGTGGCTGTCACTTATCTGTTTGCATGCCAAGTTCTATGATCAGATGCAGGAGCACAGTAGGAGAACCCTAGAAAGCAGAGCTGGATAGAGAGAGACTAATTTCTAGGGAGAAGCAACCCGAGGCTGTGAGTCAGCTGAGAAACACTCTTCACAGCTTTTCTTATGACTTGGGCCGTTTCAGCCTGTTGATAAAATAATAAGAAGAAAAAATGTGTTGGGGTATTTCAGGAAATGAGACCTTTGTAATCCTCAGAACAGAAGTAGACAATAGTGTATTACTCTTCTAGAAGCTGCTCATGACAGTTGCCAAGAAATCAAGATCAGATGCCTTGGGGACTGAGCCTCTGAGGACCCTGAAGAACCTACATTGTCCCCTAAAATTCACCAATACACTTTTTCCAACTTCCTTGACGAGTGCCCCAAGAGAGAAAGTTAATGAAATCTAGAACAAATCACTCGACTCCTGTGGCAGGGTGACAAGTCACTAGCATGGCTAAGCATTTCTTGCCCCTACCAACATTTCCCTTTCATAGCCCCCGGTGGACATGTCGGAGAGAGGGTGGGCGATAACATTTGCTCTCGAGCTTCAATTTAAATGAGAGAAAAGTTGCAGTCTTGAAGCTAGAAAGAAGTTCCTACAGAAAATTTTGGGGAAAATTTTGAGGATGGAGAAAGGAGGATCAAGGCAGAGGGACCTCAGTCTCGGGTAGGCTCTGTCAGTTGGGCGCCATCTGGCTGCACATGGTAAAGATCTTTATCTCTGCCATCTGGTCTTCCAGTTCTTCAGTGTTTAATGTGGAAAGCATGTCGTTGATACAGGCCAGAAGGAAGAGCAGAGACCTTCTTCAAACAACACAGCCAGAGACCACCCCAAGTTCAGGTTGAATCTAGCTGTGAATTTAAATATATTGGCATCATCTCTCCCTCTAAAAAAAAAAAAAAAAAAAGAACTTAAAAACCTTTCTTGGCCTCATAAATGGTTACTTATGGTAGATGAGAGGATGTGTGGTTATTTAAAAAGTTCATCAAGTCTAACTGAGGTCACAAGGAAAGGGGAGCAGGGAGAGGCTGGAAAACAACAAAGATGAACAGAATGGGGTTTTATATAGATCACTCAGTCAGAAATTTGTATTCTTCTATGAGTGATGTTTGCATCCCTGAGCCTGGGATAGGATCAGGGAAGGAGTCCAAACAGCTGCTAGATAAGGGAGAATTCAGGATACCTACCCCACCTACACACACGCACACACACACACATGCACGCACACACGCACACGCACACACGCACGCACACGCACACACATTCACGCACACACATGCACTGGCTCCATAGAGTTGGTTTCTCTCTTGCTGCTGTAATATTTTTGGCAATAATGAATCCCTTAAAAATTTTTATTCTCTAATCTATAGGAAAAAAAGAACCCAACGAACATAAAACTCCAATTACTTGTGTCCCCTGGTGTTCATGTCTAATCTTTTCCAATATTTATGTACATAGTCACCATGTGACCCTACTACTTTGTGTTTTAATTTTTCACTCATTATGTTTTTGTTTTCACATTTCCACGTGTGGATAGTTAAGTTACAGTCATTGAAAGTCCCCAGTAGGTAGGACGCATACACTGCCATTTTTATTAACTACCAATTCCTGGCTGTCCTCCGACTGTCGGAGTTGTAAGATTAGGATCAGACCGTTGCAGGTATGAATAATGATGGCAGATGCCTTTTCCTAGAAAGGTATGCGATCTCAATTAAGCAGAAACATCCTTCAACTCCCAGACTGTTTCAAGAGTTAGAAATGTTCAGGCCCAGAAGAAATGAAGTTAGCTGGAAGGTTTTGGCTGCTGATTACTTTATAACAGGCCATAGGTTTAAAGTCCAAAAGGGCTCGGATTTCTACCCTGTGTTTGACATCTCAGACCTCAATACAGAGGAGCTGAGCGAGCTGAGCTGACGTCCCTGCACCCCGGCCCACAGCAGGGATAGGAAGGCTCAGAGGCCCTGGGCCAGGTCTCCTTACTGCAGCATGTGGGGAC